CACAGTCGCACAGTCACACAGAGACACAGTCACACAGTCACACAGAGACACAGTCACACAGAGACACAGTCACACAGAGACACAGTCACACAGTCACACAGTTACACAGTCACACAGTCACACAGAGACACAATCACACAGTCACATAGAGACACAGTCACACAGTCACACAGAGACACAGTCTCACAGTTTCACAGAGACACAGTCGCACAGAGACACAGTCACACAGAGACACAGTCGCACAGAGACACAGTCGCACAGAGACACAGTCACACAGAGACTCAGTCACACAGACACAGAGACACAGTCACACGGAGACACAGTCACACAGAAACACAGTCACACAAACACAGAGACACAGTCACACAGAGACACAGTCATACAGAGACACAGTCACACAGAGACACAGTCATACAGAGACACAGTCACACAGAGACACAGTCACACGGAGACACAGTCACACAGAAACACAGTCACACAAACACAGAGACACAGTCACACAGAGACACAGTCGCACAGAGACACAGTCACACAGAGACACAGTCATACAGAGACACAGTCACACAGAGACACAGTCACACAGTCACACGGAGACACAGTCACACTGAAACACAGTCACACAAACACAGAGACACAGTCGCACAGAGACACAGTCGCACAGAGACACAGTCACACAGAGACTCAGTCACACAGACACAGAGACACAGTCACACGGAGACACAGTCACACAGAGACACAGTCACACAGAGACACAGTCATACAGAGACACAGTCACACAGAGACACAGTCATTCAGAGACACAGTCACACAGACACAGTCACACAGTCACACGGAGACACAGTCACACAGAAACACAGTCACACAAACACAGAGACACAGTCACACAGAGACACAGTCATACAGAGACACAGTCACACAGAGACACAGTCATACAGAGACACAGTCACACAGAGACACAGTCACACGGAGACACAGTCACACTGAAACACAGTCACACAAACACAGAGACACAGTCACACAGTCATACAGAGACACAGTCACACAGAGACACAGTCATACAGAGACACAGTCACACAGAGACACAGTCACACAGAGACACAGTCACACAGAGACACAGTCACACAGAGACACAGTCACACAGAGACACAGTCACACAGAGACACAGTCACACAGAGACACAGTCACACAGAGACACAGTCACACAGAGACACAGTCATACAGAGACACAGTCACACAGAGACACAGTCACACAGTGTCACACAGCGGGTTTTCTTCCTAATGGGGGGTTCTGTACATGTTGCCATAGCGGTATGTCCACTCACAGGATAAGTGGCGCTGCCCAGTAAACTCGCCCCTCGGAGCAAAATTAAAATTAAATCTAATTGACGCATCATCTGAGAACTATATTTAAACTTGAGAAATACTAGGCAATCACAGTTCAGAGTGTGAGACACTGTGGTGTTTTATTAATATTATACACATACATTTTAGTTATGATATTCCATTACACCCTTTCATTAACACACGAAAGGTATTGTGATAGATATTGAGATAGTTAATACATCAAACAGAAGAGCAGTCACTGAAACACAAAGGCCAGAAAGCACGAGTATAAACAGCAACGACTTGTTTAGAACCGAGAGTTATATGCACGGGCAGCATACAACATCCACTAGATAGTGTGGTATTGTAATTGCCAGAATTAGGCTGGGATATCGATATCTATGGAAGGTGGCTGCAGGTAATGATTCCCCCCAATGGTGAACATTCAAGTTGTAAACTATGTGAACAAGAGCTGGGACATACTCTCCAACACTATATCTGTGATTGCCCTGTTATAAGTGACTTCAGACCGAATGGCAAGAGGTACTTTGAGCTCTGTAATTACTTCATACACTCAAGAATATTGGAAGATATTCTTGTCCTGTACCCAGATTTTGCTAGTGGAGGCTAATAGACTGGAGAATCTCGTCTTCACTCATCACACCATATCCTTGGTCATTGGCATCTTCTTCAAGCCAATCAACCACATCCTGTCTCTCTAAGTTTTTGCCAGCATTTCTGAACATTCCATGGGTTTCATCTGTAAATCCTTCAAAATACATTTCTTCATCCTCCTCCTTTCTGACCGTAGAAGTGAGGAGTTTTTTCCAGGAATTTTTCAGTCGATTCCTTTACTTCACTCCACACCTTGGCCCAGTTATAGATGGCTTCCTTGATTGTATAGTTCTTCAGATTCTCAAGTCTTACATTTCTTATTCTCTCCTGATTACATGTATGACTGGCCGTCCTGTGAGGTGGGGATGTTGGGTAAGCTGTAGCTGGTTTTTGACATACACTGTGTAATCTTTCATATGGAATAGGTAGCAGCACATTGCTGTGTATACCTAAGCTTGTTAAAATAAAATAAAATAAAATTATTTGAGAGGAATCTTATAGAAACTGGTGAAAGATAATTGTAATATAATATTTCCGTGGTTCAGTGCTTAGCTCTTGTGAAGATCATAAAGTTATTATTTAATCAAATTTAATATTGAGGCAGGTAATTTTTTTGGGTATTGAGACAGGTATTTTCTCCCCTGATTCCATGTATGACTAACCATCGTGTGAGGTGAGAATATTAGATGAACTTGTAGCTAGTTTCTGAGCTACACTGTGTAATGTTTCATATATAATAAGGTTGCAGCACATTGCTCTGTAGGTTATCTTGAGATGATTTCGGGGCTTAGCGTCCCCGCGGCCCGGTCCTCGACCAGGCCTCTTTTTTGTTACACACCCCGCAGGAAGCAGCCCGTAGCAGCTGTCTAAGTCCCAGGTACCTGTTTACTGCTAGATAACAGGGGCATCAGGGTGAAAGAAACATTTTGCCCATTTGTCTCCACCTTGACCGGAGATCGAACTCGGAACCTCAGGACTACGAATCCGAAACACTGTCAACCCAGCTGTCAGGCGCCCTACCTAAGTATAGGGCGGTATAGATATAGGGCTCCCTATAAGGCGTTGACTTATATTAAGTATAGGGCGGTATAGTATAGGGCTAAGTATAGATATAGGGCGCCCAGTATACCTAGGCTTGTTTATAATAAAAAAAAGTAAATACAAGGTAAGTTATTTGGAGAAAGATAACAATAATGTTATCTATTGTTATTGTTCGATAGAAATATATCAAACAGCTGTCAACATATTTTTATGGACTTTCACCACCTGCAGTGAGGTCAAATTCAATTTGCGTAACGCGACATTTACGTAGGCTACTTTAGATGATTATATTAAGTATTTTGATGTAAAAATTTCATTTTTTCACACTGCCTTACAACTTACATATATGTGAGAGAACTCTCCCGGAACATCTACACACTGTAGATAAAACACAAGTAGCTATAAGTTTATCTAATATCCCCACCTCACAGGATGGTTAGTCATACATAGAATCACCAGAGAAAATACCTGCCTCAATACACAAAATAAATTTGACTAAATATTAACTTCATGATTTTTATAAGAGCTACGCACTGAATCATGGACATATTATAATTATTTTTAATCAGTTTCTATAAGATTACTCTCAAATAATTTATTTTGTTTTATTTTATTTGAACAAGATTAGGTATACAGAGCAATGTGCTGCTACCTTATTCTATATGAAAGATCACACAGTGTAGGTCAAAAACCAGCTACAAGCTCATCCAACATCCCCACCTCACAGGCCGGCCAGTCATACATGGACTCAGGAGACAACATGAGATGTGAGGCTGAGCAGTCTACCCTCACAACAACGGACTCGAACCCTCTATAAGACTAACTATTGGTCTATTACCATTCACCTAACATTCTCCAGATAACATTACATTTATATCTCGATAGATCTCGTTCCAGGTACCAACACAACCATCCTTATGTACCTGGGTGCATCGACTTACATGGAAAAACAAGAGTTCCTTTCATACTGGCCTGCTTGTGAGAGCAACGTTAGTATATCTTCTAGTTAACATGCTTACCTGCATACGTATCAAGTATAATATGATCCACTATGGTGAGTGTATGGTGGCTATAATACATCTACACGTGATGGTCTGGTTTACCTTTCATTCTCCATTGCAATCATGGTGGTGTACTAGTCCTTTATGATGTATAGTGGCCATAATACACACACAGTTGGTAGTGTGGTCCTCCATGTTGTATGGTGGCTCCCCGTGGTGTATGGTGGCCCCCATGGTGTATGGTGGCCCCCATGGTGTATGGTGACCCCATGGTGTATGGTGGCCCCCATGGTGTATGGTGGCCCCCATGGTGTATGGTGGGCCCCCATGGTGTATGGTGACCCCATGGTGTATGGTGGCCCCCATGGTGTATGGTGGCCCCCATGGTGTATGGTGGCCCTATGGTGTATGGTGGCCCCATGGTGTATGGTGGCCCCCATGGTGTATGGTGGCCCCATGGTGTATGGTGTCCCTATGGTGTATGGTGGCTCCCATGGTGTATGGTGGCCCCCATGGTGTATGGTGGGCCCCCATGGTGTATGGTGACCCCATGGTGTATGGTGGCCCCCATGGTGTATGGTGGCCCCCATGGTGTATGGTGGCCCTATGGTGTATGGTGGCCCCCATGGTGTATGGTGGCCCCCATGGTGTATGGTGGCCCCATGGTGTATGGTGGCCCCCATGGTGTATGGTGGCCCCCATGATGTATGGTGGCCCCCATGGTGTATGGTGACCCCCATGGTGTATGGTGATCCCCATGGTGTATGGTGGGCCCCCATGGTGTATGGTGGGCCCCCCATGGTGTATGGTGGGCCCCCCATGGTGTATGGTGACCCCCATGGTGTATTGTGGCCCCCATGGTGTATGGTGGCCCCATGGTGTATGGTGGCCCCCATGGTGTATGTTGGCCCCCATGGTGTATGGTGGCCCCCATGGTGTATGGTGGGCCCCCATGGTGTATGGTGGCCCCCATGGTGTATGGTAGCCAAGAGAGTAACTCAGACACGTTCCTTCCTATAGACAGTATAATGCAGCGGGGCAGTGCGTGTGTGGTGGTGGTGCTGGTGATGAGTACAGCCTCCTACCTCCTCATTGACAAGTTCTCAGAAGTGATCCCCGTCTACACGAAAATGGTCAACTTTGCCCCCCGTCCAGTTTCTAATCTTCTACAGCCGGTATCTCGTCTGATACTCGGGGCCTTCTATAGCGACTCAGAGATGAAAGGTGAGATTTATTTAAGGAATTGTTTACGTATGAAGGGGTCTAGATACATCCACTTTCTCCCATGTATCTATCGTTTATGTTTAATATTTGCTGCACCACTTGTCTATATGACGTTTGCATGCAATTTATTCCACTCTTCTATCATCCCTGTAACAAAACCTGCATTTCATAATATTCCTCGCACCTTGCACCTCTCCAAGGAAGGCAGGTTGAGCTTCTTCAACCACTCCTCGACTGTAAGGTTCTGAACATCAGAAAGTACACGAGTCATCCAACAGTGGATTTTCTCGAAGGAAACGATATCCATTCTGTAATGTATAAAGGCATTTTCCTGCCCAGGTGTGGTCTCACCTGTGCTAAGTATAATTGACTGGCGAGGTTTGTGCAATTATTGCTGATACTTCAGTGTTCATGAAACGCAACTGTGGCATGATCCGAAGTCTGAATGAACATTGACCTTGGCGACTACCTGCGGACCAGCATCATCCGGTGAACAAATCCACAAAGACCGTGACGAGGATTCGAACCTACGTCCGAGAGCGTTCCAGACGCTGCCTTAATCGACTGAGCTACGACATGGTACAATCACCCGGTGCTTTCATGAACTTGTAAGCCGACAACGCCACAACATCGAGACAAGAACCATACAAAAACAAACCTCATTGTTTGATGGTCCCATTGCTGTTCTCCGCCTTGAAGATGTGTAGACAAGGTGAGATGCCTCAGAAGGTGGAGTTGGGGATCCTGGTGGACGATATATTCAACATCCAGAAGCACAGGAAGTTCACACTACGGACACATTACAAGGATATCTTTTGACATAGAAAGGACGGCTTCGAGGCAACCACAGTAGCACCAACACGCCTGAGGAGGCGAAAATTCGAATGATAAAATTGATCAGGGTCCTGTTTATACTTTTCTCGACATTCCTGAAAGCATACTTGGACAATTAATCGAATCATGTACAAACGTGGCATATTTCCTGAGCTGTGATAGTTCCATCTATAATCAAGTAGATAATTCCCCCGTTTTGCGAATTATTATATTGGTACCATCCAGCACAAATTCCTTGTTGTCTTGGACCTAAAACCTGACATCTGTTGTCGGAATGTTGATAACATGGAACACTTTCGGGCAGGTCCTTAATCAAACAGATAAATTTAAGTAGGTAAATTCTAGCAGAAGTAACAAAATGATAACAGATACATTGCAAGAAAAAAAATGAGATGAGAGATATTAGTAGGTATATTAAAGCACATTGGTATATTAAAGCTCACTTTCGTGTTCCACTGACTGAATAGCTCGTCACTCATTTTTCTACTGAATAGGTTCCAACGACGCATCGATGCGTCGCTTGATATAAAAATTTGTAAAAAAAAAAGTTACTATCCGATCTTCATTTTTTTTAAATGAGCGCCTTTGTTTTCCCACAATCCTCCATAGGCCGCATGGGATTGTGGGTCACGCCATGCGGTCGGCCTAGTCCTTTGTTTACGTCTCTCGTGACCGGACCACCGCCCTCCCGCGTCCAGAACCTGTGCACCTCTCTGCCCTGTTTAGGCGTGTTTATTCGTTCCCGTGTCTTGAAAACCCCGTATTACTTGAAAACATGGATCGTGGTAAAGAACAGAGCACTTCTACGCCCAAGAAAGATAGTAAAACCACCAACGAGGATAAGTTGCGTGAGCTGTACAAAAGGTTTAGCAATGTGAAGCTTACCCCCAGTAAAATTCCTGAGTTGTTGGATCGTTTATCAGATGTGGAGGCAGATGCTGAAGGGGAAGAACGTGAGAGTGATTTTAGTAGTGATAATGAGGGGACAGCGACGTCTGATGAGTTTGATGACTCTTCGACTGAGGAGAGTAGCGAGGGGAGTGAGGATGAGGCGGCAGATGAGGGCCGCCCCAAGCCACCCATAAGGAGGCGTGAAGGACGTCATGAACAGCCTAATTCCGATGATGCCTGGTCTACTGACAATACACCACCAATTGTAGACAGATTCACTGGCACACCAGGCCTAACTGTCCCAGTGCCAATCACCACCCTGCAATTTATACAATTATTTCTGACCCGTGCCCTCATTGAATATATCACAGTGGAAACGAACAGGTATGCCAGACAATTTATTCAGAATGCTTCCAGCTAGCGCACCATGAGGTTGTGGAAAGAGGTATCTGTAAAGGAAATGGCCAGGTATTTGGGTTTGTCAATGTTGATGGGTATTGCACGACTCCCGATAATGAGAATGTACTGGCAAACAAGCCGGTTGTGGCATATGAGGACCTTCAATATTTTCATGACTGCAAAACGATACCAACATATCGGCCAGTTTTTTCATAGTTATAACCAGCTTGCAATTCCCCCAAACAACAAGAACCACATGATAAAACTGAGCACAATCATTACTTATTTTACCAACAAATTTGGCACATACTACGTTCCCAATAAATCACTCAGTTTGGATGAAGGAACAATGTCGTGGCGTGGTCGTTTATCCTTCAAGGTTTACAACCCAAATAAGCCTGATAAGTATGGGGTAAAGTTTTACATGCTTTCTGAGGCAGGGACTGGCTATATTATTGATTTTGAGGTTTATTCCGGAGTTGGTAAGACAACAGTGGAGACAGTGATGGGCCTTATGCGACCCTTATTGAACAAGGGTTATCATCTTTATATGGACAATTACTATAACTCTGTCCATCTCACTGAATTGCTAAGGGAAAATGGTGTGTACACTTGTGGAACACTCAGATTGCAGCGTGGCGCCCCAAAAGATCTGCAACAACTTGCAAAAGGTAAATTCGCTGTTGATCAAACTATTTTCAGGCGCAAGGACAACACTTTCATTATCCTATGGAAAGACAAGAGAGTGGTGTCAGTGATCACAAACTGTCATAATGCTGACACCCAAGAAGTACAAAGAAGGAAGAGAGTGAAGAAACGTGACGGATCATTATCACTACAGATTGTAACTGTGAACAAACCCACTGCCATTTGCGACTACAACACCAACATGAAGGGAGTTGATCACTTCGACCAAATGGTCAAATATTACAGGTTCACCAGGAAATCACATAAGTGGACTAAGAAGATCACATTTTATTTCCTTCAGATGGCTATACACAATGCCTATGTGTTGTACAAGATGTACACAAATGATGCCAAAAAATTGACCCTACTCCAGTTTCACAAGGTAGCAATATGGGCCCTGTTGAGGTGGGACCTGGATGAGTGGCCTGTCACTGAAAGCCCTATCCCACATGCTGAGGATTACCAAGATCCTTCTGATGATTTGGCAACACCGGGACCATCTGGAGTGAGGCGTCCTTTATTTCCTCCTGCACGCCAACCACAAGACTCATCCTCATCTGACACAGAACCTGAAACTAAAACGCCTGCACCTGAACCTAGTCCTCCACCTGTGAAAAACCCACGCATTGTTGATTCAGAGGATAGGTTGAACAAGAAGTTGACCCATGCTATAGTGAAAATTGCTAAACGGAAACGGTGTCGTGTTTGCATCAAGTCGGGAATTAGGAAAGACTATGTATCAGTGCAAGACATGTGGAGTTGCTCTGTGTCACACCATGCTACACAAAATACCACCGCAAGAGGGTATTTTGGGCGGCAAAAAAATCGCGCCTCTGCAACCATCCACTCCACCTAACGTAACATCTGTTGAGCAACTTCAGGGACATTTTCCTGAAGCTGGTGGAGTGGATAACAAAATGTTCAACTTATTGACCTTCCATCATCACATCGTGGGTAAGTACACACACTTTGTATTCATCATTGTGAAGTTATTACTTCTTCATACTTTGCTGTGGGTACCTCTATATATATTCCGGTTCTTAGTGCTCAGATTGGTATGTCTACATAGTGCATCTTATGCACTATGTAGTGCATAAGACTTCCTACCTATATTGTTTATAGGTAGGAAGGTAAACAGGTCGTATGGGACTACACGTGCGCGTCTACATTGACTGATACCTATCTACCTCGCAGCACAGCTGAGGGAGGCGGGGCGGCCACCTTCAGGGAGACCAAAAAAACTAACAAGTACAGGGACCTAGAACATTGTTGCAGGTTCGTGCCGATAGACTCTGGGCGCCTGGGGTAAATGTGCACTTAAGTTCCTAAAGGAGGTGGGCGAGGAACTCATTAGGAAAATTAAAGACTCAAGAGCAGCCAGTTTCTTGTTCTAGCGCCTCAGTGTCGCGGTCCAGAGAAGAAATGCGTGCTGTATCTTGGGCACGCACCCCACCTCCGAAGTGCTGGATGGGGCCTATGAAAAGTAATTGTTATATGTGTGTGTTTTCTGAAACTGTAGCAAGTAATAAAAAGAATAAGGGTGATAGAAGAAAATATTAAAGTGTTCAGTGAGAATCCACAATGTCTTCTCTGAATACTCTTAATTTTCTTCTTCGAGGCTATGGATCCCTGTGGGGAAAAAACCTGACTCCAATAACAAATAATTAAATATATACTTCGATAGCTATAAAGGACCACCACTTTTTGAGAAAAAGTGGAAAACAAAATATGACAATGGAAAAACTGATCCCAAGAACTAGTGTCCTATGGATCTTAGTGAAACTGTATTTCTTATATAAATGGAGTCAAATTAACCTACACAAAATTGGGGGGTTACATACTAAAAGATTAATACATCCCTAGCATTATTCTGGCGCTGGTTCTTCACCAGAGTAAATAAAATATGAAAGTAAATAAGGTTGATTGTAATAGATTAATTGGAGGTAAATGCACCTCAATATACTGCTGGATAGAATAGTATAGTATAGATCAATGGGTTAATATAATAGATCTCTTTGGGAGATCACTACTGTAACTACAGAGTTATTGCTACAGATAAAAAAGGGACAGCTTAGCTGTAAATCTAGAAAGGTGTGATCAGTTGCCACACTCCACCGACGACGTGTTGCATAGGGCAAATTGTTGCACATGAAGGTGGGGGAAGCCTAGCACCTCGGTTGGTGTCGCCT